CCACACAAATAAATAATAATTAATAATTAAATAATAATAATAATAATAATAATAATAATAATAATAATAATGGAAAAATACAAAATGATATATAATTTACTTATATTGTTAGGAGTAAAAAAGGAAAAAATGGAAAAGAATCCCTAATTCACTTAATAATAACAAGGTTTGCAGTAAAAAAAGGAAAAATTGATTTTTTTTTTTTATTACAAAGTAATGGGGATACCCATATATACAAGCTACTACGCCTCCATTGAGACTCGAACCTACCACTTTCCACATAGGAGAGCAACTTGGGACTATTGGACCACAATGTCTTTAGTAAAAAAATAGAATTTGATCTGTAAGTCATTAATAATAATAATAATAATAATAATAATAATAATAATAATAATAATAATAATAATAATAATATCTATACTATTATTAAAAACAAAATCAACTTTTGTGTTTTCCTTGCCCAAACTCTTCCAAACAATTAATAATTAATAATTAATTAAAAATAATAATAATATTATTAAAATAAAAAAATACAAAAAAGATCTATAATTTACTTATAATGTATGTAGACGTAGAAAATGCAGTACTTTGTATTGGTTTTATAAGAGATTTTCAGCGTGAGGTGTAACATATATATATATATATATATATATATATATATATATATATATATATATATATATATATATATATATATATATATATATATATATATATATATATATATATATATATATATATATATATATATAATATTTTTTATTCAATTGACTCATTTATGAATTGGTGCAAAAAATTTCGTGTTATATTACCATAATAATATTTTCATAATTAATTAGTCTATATTCATAATATTTCGTGTAATATTAATTAATTTTTGATTATATATATATATATATATATATATATATATATATATATATATATTACATAATACCATATAAGGAATACACGTTAATTCAAAAAAGGTAAATGTTAATACCTATTTCATTAATTAGTCTATATTCATAATATTCCGTGTAATGTTAATTAATTTGTGATTATATATATTACATAATACCATATATAGAATACACGTTAATTATTCCCTAACTCAAAAAATGTACACGTTAATAATATTTCCATAATTAATTAGCCTATATTACCATAATAATATTTCCATAATTAATTAGTCTATATTCAAAATATTCCTGGTAATATTAATTAGTATCATTGTCAGACTTGCACGACCTAACTACAAAGTTGTTGGTCATAAGTACAATTACACCTGGACTTTAAAACGGTAGGACCATTTTCTAACAAATTGACAATATTGGCATCCCACTGGCTCTAATTGAACAAGTTTACACATCAGAATTTTATCAATGCATGAAAACTTCTAAAGAAATTTGTAAGTTAATTTTTACTATATCATTATAAAAATATCTATTGTAACTATATATTTTGAATTATTTATTGTCATCCTCTATTGACACAAATCGTAACAATTGTCATTGACAAACTCTCAAAATAATTTGTCTCAACAATGAATGTAAATTAAAAAAATCAATGATTTTATTATTGTTGACGAAAATTATGTACGCCACTTTATTACTATTATTAAATTAAATAAAGTAGTAGCTACTAACAAAAAATAATACACATGCATTTAATTAATTTAGAATTAGATGTCTATAATGCCTTTATTTAAAAAAAAAAATTATTCATTATAAAAAATTTAAAAAGAGATATAATTTCATTAGTTATATTATCTTTATTTTCTATACAATTGAAAGATTCATTACCTTCAAATTTATTAATTTATTATATTCACTACATTGTCCATTGTCTTCTTTTTACATTATCTTGTAATTAATAAATATCAAAGTTATAGTACAAAATATGTTATATATATTTATTTGCCAAATATTTTATACAAATATAATAAATATTAATATTTTGTTCAATACTTTCACATGATAACCTACGACACACATCTCAGAATGCATGAAACATGTAAGGGAAAAACTACAACTACCAAATATCAATAGGTACGGTGCTTGCAACATAAAGAGTTAATAGTAAAACTAAGATCCCATCATATACACAAGACAAATCTAAAGCTTCCTACATCATAATCTCATTGCATGATGAATTCATCTATGCTACCACCAGTAATCCAATTGCACATGACACACTACCAATAAAAAAAAGGACATGTACTGAAGATGAAGACAATGACAACGCTACCCAAAAGAGAAATAAGAAGAATTAGAAAAATTTAAACCAAAAATAGTATTTATTTAGATTATCGTTTTTAGACTAGCATTATTACAAAGTTGCAAACATTTATTTTAGTGACAATAAAATTAATCTCTCATATATTATCTTGCATTTATATACTTTAAATGACCAATTTAAATAAACAAATTCATTATTTATTTACCTATGCATGAACATCTCTGATATAATATTGCATTGATATACTTTAAAATACTTATTTAAAAAAATCATTGAGCATTATTTTATTCGCTCAAAGCACGTAAAAGAACTAGTAATAAAATAAATGTACACTTTCAAATATTAGTATTGTTTATAATTTTCATCTTTAATTTTATTATCTAAATATATAATACAAAATTATATCCGCACATCATACTGGTAATTAGATAATTATTTGCTCAAATTCAAAAAAGGATAAAATAAAATAAAAAACCTAATCAATTCAACTCATTCCATGAATTGCACTATATAATATTCGTTGTTATAATTTATATAATTGTATATCGATCTAAATATTCTTAAAATATTATAACAAATCCTTAGTAATGCAAGTAGTCCTAAAGTAGAGTTCAATTCTTATTTCTTGGTTGCTGATTGACTTACTCAAATATATCTTACAATTTACATTATCATTTATATATATATTACCACTTTAGCATTATTGATATAATAATAATATTGTACTTAAATAAGAGTACAACATACCTAAGTATTTAATAGGAGCTGAGATGTGGGATCAGAGCAGGGGTGTCATGCCCATGCCACATGAATATTTGAGTTCAATTGTTGCTGGTAATTCATGCAGAACTAATTCTTGGTTGCAAACCATTTGGCCGGTCCTCTACCACTTAGTATGCTGACAGTAGGGACGTGAGATTAGTCTTCTGGCTATCGGTTGAAGGGATATTTTTAGGCAACAAAAAAAAAAAAAAAAATTAGTTGCAAGGTTGTATACTCCTTACTCTTATTGTCAAAAATAGAAATTCCGATCCATGTAATTACTTTATTAATAGTATAACTTACGGAGTATATGACAACTTCTCCGTGAGGCATAGTTTAACTTGTCAGCAAATCTAAAATAAATTCATAAATTTATTTTGCTAATAGCGCAGGCTCCGCAGCATGGGGTGAAGAGAGGTATGAATTCAGCTGTGTTATGAACACTAATATATAAATATTTGGAGCATTTAGGTCAGTTGAGGCACATCGTGCAATTTACCTTTTTCATCGATTTGTAGGACAGAAATTGTAAAGAACTCTTAAGTTTAGGGGTTCAAACTTACCTATGACAAATTTAGACAAACAAAAGAAAAACAAAAACAATAAACAATAAATAAATAAATCTAATATCGATCTAATAAATCAAAAAGAATTAACGAAGATTTATTATGAAAAAAAAAAATTATATTTCAGCCTTATTAAAGATCATATAGTATTGTTTCAAAAAAAAAAAAAAAAAAAAAAAAAAAAACATATTGTATGTGCTACATAGTACACACATTCTACATATGAGAGAGTTTGGCCCCAAAGAAAAGCAGGCAAATTATTAGGTGGACCATGGTCCACACGATTGTATGCATCATGAATATCAAGTACATTTTTAATATATTAAAAATATATTATTTTTGTATTGAAGATATATTATATAAAATAATATATCTTTAATATATTAAAATATACTTTCAAAAATATACCTTATGTACATAAATAATGTACCCTAGTATATTAAAAATGTACATTTTATTTATGATCTACACAATTATGTGAACCATGGTCCATGCAATAATGATTGAAAGAAGGAAGACTCTGAGCTGCGCTGTCCCGTTGGAGGCACGACTAACATGCCTAAAAGACACCCACCCAATTTGTGAACCCAACATTAATAATAAATATTGATGTACCAAAATACCAGAATATGTTGAGTTGCGATTAGTACCGCCTTTCAAAGCGTTGCACATTTATGTTTAAACAATCCGACCAAACCGAGACCAGGGAAATTATATTATACTCAAAATTTGTGCATATTGATCAAATTTATCGAGATTATTGAAAGACGATACGAGCACAATAACGTATATATTTATTGCAATTTCTATAATTATTTATAAATTGACCAATTAATAAATGCTAAATATAAATGGTGAATAACACTATCCTTATAGGGATTATTGGAATATCAGTAGGGATTATTGGAAGATACAGATACAATAATGTATATATTACAAGAATAAGGAGTATTTAATTGATTGACCGAATCTGCCTATCTTTTTGGGGATTATTAGAAGATACAAATTAAAGCTAGTCAATAAGAGAGGAGGCGCCTGTGAATATTCTTAAAGAAGAGAGGCAGGCAGGCCAGTTGTTTGGATGAGTTCCAGAATGGGATCTTTGGAGAACGATTCTGCAAAGAGTTCTTCCAATATTCCTGTTGATGATGATAGTACGGTCGGCAAGGTTATAACTTGCAAAGGTAGGTATTAGGTATTAGGTATTACACACATTTTGGTCGGCTCTCCGGCCTACCTTTAATTTCTTCATGTTTTTAATTATATTCTGGGCTGGCAGCCGCCGTGGCCTATGCCCCCGGACAGCCCTTGATCGTGGAGGACATTCTGGTGGCTCCGCCGCAGAAAATGGAAGTCAGAGTCAAGATTCTTTTCACTTCGATTTGCCATACCGACCTAAGTGCCTGGCTAGGCAAGGTATATATGTATTAGCTTCATTTCATGTAATCAAAATTATATTCTTCATTGAATTGGTATATATATATATTTATGTATCGATCTGATTTGTAGCTTTAATTTGCAGAACGAAGCCCAACGTGTTTTCCCTCGAATTCTCGGACACGAAGCCTCTGGGTATAGTATAACTAACCATCCAATATCTTAAACGTAACAAAACTTCATTTCATTTATGTTTATATATCTGCAGGGTGGTTGAAAGCGTGGGAGAAGGGGTGGGGGACTTGAAACCGGGAGACCACGTCGTACCAATCTTCAACGGGGAATGCGGCGACTGCGCCTACTGCAAATCCGACAAGACCAATCTGTGCAAAGATTTTCGGGTCAGTCCTTTCAAGAGTACGATGATTAATGACGGCAAGTGTCGGTTTTCCAGCAAAGATGGGAACCCCATCTATCATTTCCTCAACACTTCTACATTTACACAGTACACTGTTCTTGATTCCGCCTGTGTACTCAAGCTGGACCCAATGGCTCCCCTCAAAACCATGACCCTGCTTAGCTGTGGAGTTTCTACCGGTGATCTCACAATTTAATTATGGTTTATTATTATAATTATGGCACAAATTAATTAGTATTTTTGTGAAAGCTATGGTTATATGCATGGTGACAATAGATCGGAAAATGTTGGTTATTGGGCAGGACTTGGAGCCGTGTGGAACACCGCCGACGTTCAAGCGGGAGAGACAATTGCTGTTTTTGGCCTCGGAGGTGTTGGTTTGGCTGTAAGTATAATGTGGGGTCATATATAGGGTCATGGATTTCGCGTTTTTTTTTTTTGTTTCAAAAAAACAATTTATAAATAATACAACATTAAATAGAATTTTCAATATGATTTGAACCTTGATTGAAAATCATGTGATTTTATCTTAAAATCTCAACTAATTAATAGTACGTGCAATTATAAGAATCATCACAATGAACACAGGTTGTGGAAGGTGCACGAACTAGAGGTGCGTCAAAAATTATTGGAATCGACACCAATTCTAAGAAACGTATCAAAGGTATATATAATTCTGAATGCATGTATCTATATTTATTTATGGAAGCAGGTTATGTGTGTTGTATTCCAATCTAATTTTTCAACTACTCAGTATACATATTACATGGTTTGTGTATTATATTTGTTTGCGTAGGTGAAGCTGTTGGAATTACCCATTTCATAAACCCAAAGGAACTTGACAAGCCAGTTCACGAGGTTAGTAAAACAATCCAAAATTTGAATCCAAATAAAATAGACAAATAAGTCTAGTGTGAACTAAGAAATTTAATATATTCGAAGCAAAATAAATTAAATAAAAATAATGCTATTATTACATTTGGTCAGACAATTCACGAAATGACTGGAGGTGGTGTGCACTATAGCTTTGAGTGTGTCGGAGATCCCGATGTCCTCCGCGATGCATTTTTATCCACCAGTGACGTAAGTAAAATACATTTTAAATTTTTAATTATTACTTAAGAGTGTGGATTGATAAAGTATTATTGAGTTCAGGGTTGGGGACTGACGGTGATTCTAGGGATCCATACGAGCCCAAGGATGCTACCTCTCCACCCGATGGAGCTGTTTGACGGGCGGAGGGTGGTGGCGTCGGTCTTCGGCGACTTCAAAGGGAAGTCACAACTGCCTCACTTTGCCAAACAATGCATGCAAGGGGTATACTTATTATTATTACTAGTGTCACGTGTTGAGCATATAGTCATTAATGTGCAATACAATTATTAACTTAGACTTTTAGTTGAGATGAAGCACATGTTTCAATTTGATATCAGAGCCAAGTCAATGTATAATAAAATTGTTTTTTAAAATATGGAACAGGTGGTTAAGCTGGATGAATTCATCACCCACGAAATGGAATTTCAGCAAATAAATGACGCCTTCCAGTTGCTTATTGAAGGAAAATCATTGCGTTGTCTTCTTCGTCTTTAATTTGATGCATTTTCTCAGGAAATTGGCGAACATTATATTGAAGCAAAAATTTTAAGTTTTCAATGCATTTTATTAAATTACATTATAAATTACTGTGTATCAAAAAACATTATAAATTATTGTGATTTTTTGTTTTCTTTTCGTTCTTCTAAGTACTAATCCAAACACCTAAAACCATTTTCTTGTAATTTTTCTCTCATTTTCAATAAAGCAAATTAAGATGAGAGTGGTAGGGAACTCAATTATTGTATTCACAATGAAATAGTTCAATAATACATCAAGATATAACATATGGATACATATAACATTAGACAGAAGTAGACTCATACAAGGACATAACTTAGGCCTAATACACCCCCCTCAAGCACAACTGTACAAAGTTGGGAGGTGACAACATTGAGCTTGAAATGCAGGAATCGAGTTGCAGCCAGAGATTTGGTGAAAATGTCAACAACCTAGAAGTCATTTTATTACGAACAAAGTGATAGTCAACTTCCACGTGCTTTGTCCTAACATAGAAAATGGGGTTGGTGCAGAGATAAGTAGTCCCTAAGTTGTCACGCCACAATTTAGTAGTACCTGAAGATAGCCCGAGCTCTCAGAGCAAAAAGACAATCCAAGTGACTTCCACAATTACATCAACCAGTGCCTTGTATTCTGCCTCAGACCGTTAACAAAACACAAGTATTTCAATTAAAAAATAATTAACTAAAATCTTTTCATTCAATCAGTAAATTGAACTTTTACCAAAATTTACATACCTCTCGTCAACAGTCAAAGTTTACGACTTTACGGTATACAGTAATATCCTTGTTTCTAGTCCTTTACTACTATCTTTTATATCATTTATTATTATTTATTACTAGAGCATTGAAAACCAAACCATCATGATATTATTAAGCTAAGTCCTCATAGGAAAAAATTCGAGATGAAGAGAGTGAGAGTAGCGTCCCAATGCATTGTGAATATTGATGTATATGTATGTGTCTTATATTATATGAATCTTGTACGTGAAATAAATTAGTAATTGTTTTTTATGTTATGAATTTATGTATCTTGTGTTGTGAAATTTTGTGCCTATAAACACAAATTATATACTTAAATCAAATTTGAAAAATAAGTAAATATATAACATGTGTATATATGTTTTATGTTGTGATTTTTATGTATTGTGTTATGAAATTTGTATCTTTGGAATATGAATTCTGTAATTTACCATTTTGATCCAAGATTAGCGATGACAAAGGGTCGGGTGTGGGTCGGGAAGGGTTACATCTATCACCCGACCCACTTGATATTTTCTCCACCCACCCCCACCTCCAACCCATATCGGGTGGACTTTTTCAAAACCCACCCCCAACCCCACTGGGTGCGGGTGCCCACTACGAATACCCACCACTTATAATTTTATTATTTTTTTAAAAAAATAATATTTAAATTACTTACACATATCATAATACAATAATAAGATTCATTAGTGATACTAAAACATAAAATAATAGAAATATTTAAATATAATAACTAAATTATCAATTTTTAAAAATAATCTTAGTAGTTTAGATATAAAAATAGTAAAAAGATACGTCAGGTTATATAAACTTTTATAAATAACTACATACTAGTACTTATTTCACTATTATATATACACACAAACATGGTGGGTCAGGTCGGGTTCTATGCGAGTTTTATACCTAGAATCTGAATCCAACCCGACCAACCGTAAATTTATTTTAATTTTTTAAGACCCACCATCCATCATCATCCAAAAAAACTCGATCCATGCGGGGCAGATTGAAATTATCATCCCCATTCAAGATCTATAATATTATTTACCTACTGGGAACACCCCAAAGAAGCAAGACTCAGAGCTGTCCGTTCGAGGCACGACTAACATGGCTAAAAGACAGAGACCCAATTTGTGAACCCAACATTAATAAATGAAAAATACTTGGTGTACTCTCATTTTAAATTCCTAACTTGTACTCCCTCTCACATGTTCTTGATGTAGACATTTTTTTGTAGATCCACATGATGAAAATAACCAATCCTGGATTGCCACCTCAGGAAGTATAAATGAGGGAGTAGAATTTTGGGAGTCTATGTAGTAGAACTCTTAATAAATATTGATGTACCAAAATACCAGAATATACCAGAATATACCAGAATACGTTTTTTTTTTTTTTAAGGAAACAAGAATACGTTGATCGAGTTGAGATTAGTACCGCTTTTCAAAGCGTTGCACATACCGAGACTAGGGAAATTGTAGTATACTCACAATTATTGCATATTGACAAAATTTATGATAAATATTGAAATTCTTTAATTATTTATAAATTAACCAAATTAGATACCGAATGTAAATTTATGTGGCGGGCAACATAAATTTTATCGTGATTATTGAAAGATATACGATCACAATAACGTATAAATGCAATTTCTATAATTATTTATAAATTGGCCAATTAATAAATGCTAAATATAAATGGTGAATAACACTATCCTTATAGGGATTATTGGAATATTTGTAGGGATTATTGGAAGATACAGATATAATAATAATAATAATAATAATAATAATAATAATAGTGTATATATTACAAGTAGTACAGAATAATTGATTGACCGATTAATAAATGTAAAATGTGAATGTTGGGTAGCAGTATCCTTGTGGGGATTATTAGAAGATACAAATTAAAGCGTGGATTTTTGGTAGTTTATAAGAGAGGAGTCGGGTGTGAATCTTAAAGAAGAGAGTTGAGAATTATGGGGTCTTTGGAAAACGATTCTGCAAAGAGTTCATCCATTCCTGTTGATGATGGTAGTACAGTCGGCAAGATTATAACTTGCAAAGGTAGGTATTAGGTATTACACACATTTTGGTTTGATAGGTCTCCCGCCTACCTTTAATTTCACTACCGAAAATTATGAAATTTTCAACCCTTAAATCAAGTCGAAAGTAAAAAGTGGTCGAAAATAGCAATAAAAGTTTTTTTCAGATACCAAAAGTGGTTAGAACAAGACTTTCGACTTGATTTAAAATAACTTTTAGGTGGTCGAAAATTCCATAATTTCTAGGAGTGTTTGATTCTCTTTTAATTTCTTCATGTTTTCTCTGGCCTGGCAGCCGCCGTGGCCTATGCCCCCGGACAGCCCTTGATCGTGGAGGACATTCTGGTGGCTCCGCCGCAGAAAATGGAAGTCAGAGTCAAGATTCTTTTCACTTCGATTTGCCATTCCGACCTAATTGCCTGGCTAGGCAAGGTAGGTATATCGTATTAGTTTCATTTCATGTAATCAAAACAACGTCCAATTATATTCTCATCTTCAATCAATTGGTATATATATATGTATCGATCTGATCTGTAGCTTTAATTTGCAGAACGAAGCCCAACGTGTTTTCCCTCGAATTCTCGGACACGAAGCCTCTGGGTATAGTATAACAAACCCTCCAATATCTTAAATAACGTAACAAAACTTCATTTCATTTATGGTTATTATATCTGCAGGGTGGTTGAAAGTGTGGGGGAAGGGGTGGGGGACTTGAAACCGGGAGACCACGTCGTACCAATCTTCAACGGGGAATGCGGCGACTGCGCCTACTGCAAATCCGACAAGACCAATCTGTGCAAAGATTTTCGGGTCAGTCCTTTCAAGAGTACGATGATTAATGACGGCAAGTGTCGGTTTTCCAGCAAAGATGGGAACCCCATCTATCATTTCCTCAACGCTTCTACATTTACACAGTACACTGTTCTTGATTCCGCCTGTGTACTCAAGCTCGACCCAATGGCTCCCCTCAAAACCATGACTTTGCTTAGCTGTGGAGTTTCTACCGGTGATCTCACAATTACATTATGGTTTATTATAATTATTATGGCACAAATTAAATACTATATATTTTTGTGAAAGCTAAGGTTATGCATGGTGACAATAGATCAGAAAATGTTGGTTATTGGGCAGGACTTGGAGCCGTGTGGAACACCGCTGACGTTCAAGCCGGAGAGACAATTGCTGTTTTTGGCCTCGGAGGTGTTGGTTTGGCTGTACGTATAATGTGGGGTCATATATAGGGTCATGAATTTCGCGTTTTTTTTTTTTTCAAAAAAACAATTTATAATGAATAAGATTCAAATTGGCCACTGAACGAAAAAAAGTGTAATTAGACCATTGAACTCTCGAAATGTATACAATTTCACCGGATAGCAGGCTACCATCAATTTTAACAGGTTACCTGTTTACGTGGCAGCTGAGTTTGACATTTTTAATAATTTTTAAATAATTTTAATAATAAATTTTTTTAAAAGAAAATTTAAAGAAAAGCCGGCCACTCCCGTCGTTTTATTTTTATTTTTTTTATTTTTTATTTAGTTTTTCTCAATTTTTTTATTTTTTTATTAAAATTATTAAAAATATCAACTCAACTGCCACGTAAGCAGGTAACTTGTTAAAAATGATAGTAACCTACTATCCGGTGAAATTGTATACATTTGGAGTCTTCGGTGATCTAATTACACGTTTTTGCAGTGTTCAGTGATTTAATTGCATTTTTTTTTCGTTTAGTAACTTAATTGCATTTTCAGGTTACGTTCAGTGGCCAATTTGGACATTATTACATTTATAAATAATCCAACATCAATATGATTTGAACCTTGATTGAAAATAATGATATCTTAAAATCTCAACTAATTAATAGTACTTGCAAATTGCAATTAAATCATCACAATGAACACAGGTTGTGGAAGGTGCACGAATTAGAGGTGCGTCAAAAATTATCGGAGTCGACACCAATTCTAAGAAACGTATTAAAGGTATAATTTTAAATATATGTATTTATTTATGGAAGCAGGTTATGTGTGTTGTATCCCAATCTAATTTTTCAACTGCTCAGTATACATATTACATAGTTTGTGTATATTATATTTGTTTGCGTAGGTGAAGCTGTTGGAATTACTCATTTCATAAACCCAAAGGAACTTGACAAACCAGTTCACGAGGTCAGTAAAACAGTCCAACTTTTGAATCCAAATAAATCCAAAGTAAATTTAACAAATAAGTCTAGTGTGACCTGTGAAACTTAATCTAATCTATTCAAAACAAAATAAATAAATAATGTTATTATTACATTTGGCCAGGCAATTCACGAAATGACCGGAGGTGGTGTGCACTATAGCTTTGAGTGTGTCGGAGACCTCGATGTCTTCCGCGACGCATTCTTGTCGACCAGTGACGTAAGTATAATATTTTTTTAACTTATAGTCACGATTTAAGAGTTACATACATTATATTGGTTAGTATTCTTGAGTATAGGGTTGGGGATTGACGGTGATTCTAGGGATCCATACGAGCCCAAGGATGCTATCTCTCCACCCGATGGAGCTATTTGACGGGCGGAGGGTGGTGGGGTCGGTCTTCGGCGACTTCAAAGGAAAGTCACAACTGCCTCATTTTGCCAAACAATGCATGCAAGGGGTATAGTTATTATTATTATCAGTGTCACGTACGGACTATATATTACTGTATATATTTTTTCTTACTAACAATGTATTAAAAATATATATATATGAAACAGGTGGTTAAGCTGGATGAATTCATCACCCACGAAATGGAATTTCAACAGATAAATGACGCCTTCCAGCTGCTTATTGAAGGAAAATCAATGCGTTGTCTTCTTCATCTTTGATGCATTTTCTCAGGAAATTGGCAAACATTATATTGATGCAAAAATTTTATATTTTCAATGAAAACATTATAAATTATTGTGATTTTTTTCTTTTCGTTCTTCTAAGTTCTAATCCAAACACCTAAAACCATTTTCTTGTAATTTTTCTCTCATTTTCTATAAAGCAAATTAAGATGAGAGTTGTAGGGAATTCAATTATACATCATATATAAGTATATAACACATGGATACATATAACACTAGACAGAAGTAGACTCATACAAGGACATAACTACATAGTCCTAATACATCCCATCAAGCACAAGGTTGGGATGTGACAACATTAAGCTTGGAACGTAATGCAGGTCCCCAAACCGAGTTGCAGCCAGAGATTTGGTGAAAATGTCAGCAACATGATTTTTGGTGGAGATAAAATTAACCAGCAAGTCACCAGAAGCCACTTTATCCCAAACAAAGTGATAGTCAACCTCCATGTGCTTTGTCCTAGCATGGAAAACGGGGTGGCGCAGAGATAAGTAGCCCCTAAGTTGTCACACCACAATTTAAGAGTAGTACCCGAAGATAGCCCAATCGAGCACTCGCAGCAAAAAGACAATCCAAGTGACTTTCGCATCAACCAATGCCTTGTATTCTGCCACAGTGCGCTGCTTAAGGCATACTCACGACACCAGATTACAACCAAGAAAAACTGCAAAACCATTGGTCGACTTCCAATCAACAGGACTACCAGCACAATCAGAGTCGGAGTAGGCATGCAACTCACTTGAGTCCGAGGCACATAACCGCAAACCAAAAAGTCCAAAGTACCTTTCACGTACCTCAACACACCCTTAAGCATTACCCAACTCAAGGCCGTAGGCAAGTGAATATGCTCACATAACTGATTTACCGCAAACGGAAGATCCGGGCGTGTAACAGTGAGATACTAAGGTGCACCGGATTGCGCCGGATTTTCAAAGGGTTCCTCATACGCAAAGCCAGACCGAGACACTAAAATCGGTGTGCGCTTGACCAAAACAAAATGGTGAGCCGACGACATGGACGGCAAAGCCACCCGGAGCAGAGGTTTGGCCGATGACATGGACGGCAAAGCCACCACCGGAGCAGAGGTTTGGCCATCGGGGATCGAAATAGAGCGATGGATACCAAATGAGAGTTGTAGGGAACTCAAGTATTGTATTCACGTTAAGATACTTCAATAATACATCAGGATATAACACATGGGTACATATAACACTAGAGAGAAGTAGACTTATACAAGGACACAACTACATAGTCCTAATAAGAGAAAATTTCAATTTTGGTCATATGACTATAGGGGCATTGTTAATTTTAACACCTGACTTTTAAAAGTGTCAATTTAGTACCTTGACTATGTAATTTTTGTCAATTTTGGTCACTCCGCCCGAATTGACGGTCAAATTTGGCCGGAAAAATTTAATCAAACATTTAGTCTATAATCTGAGGGGCAAAATCGTCTTTTGATCCTTTCTAGACTAAATGTTGGATTAAATTTTTCCGACCAAATTTGACCGTCAATTTGGCCGGAGTGACCAAAATTGACAAAAATTACATAGTCAATGGACTAAATTGACATTTTTAAAAGTCAGCTGTTGAAATTAACAATGCCCCTATAGTCATGTGACTAAAATTGAAATTTTCTCGTCCTAATAATTAAAAGACTTATATAATGAATTGAGAGAGTATTTTATAATTTGACCCTATAATGGGAATAAAAGTTTAAAAAATACAAAAATAAAAAATTAAGACAATTGATCCTAATATAATGATATCTAAAATATCAATATGAACCCCAAAAAAAATCAAAATAAAAGTCTAAAAGTATTAATCCAAACTTAAAAATCATATTACCAATAAGATGAAATGATACTCGTTTTTAATTAGAAAATAAAATTTTTAATTGAAGTAGTAATCAAATTTCATAATTGTGTTTAAAAAAATTGTCAGCCAAATAGTGTGTGAACTAAACACATTTTTTTTTCAACAAATTCTGCTTTCTAGTGGACCTCTGATCTTCACCTCTTAGTAATAGTAAGATACAAATGCATGAAATTTGACCATCTATCAAGTCTTTTGGAAACAGATGATTAATCATCGGTTTCTCGCGTTGGGAAGAACATACAGGGGGAGGGCGACAGTAAAAAAAAAAAAAAAAAAAAAAACCAGAATAATAATATAATGCAAGGCAAAATCATCATATCATGCTTCCATAGCCTCAAAGTTCAAACCAGCTCTACAGCGTGTTACAATAAGCAAAACATGCGATGCAACGCAACTACTACTAATTAAGGATAAAGTTTTATCCTTACACCATAATTAACCCAAAGACAGAAGGAAGCATATGTATATGAAATAAAAGACAATTTCTTTACACATTCCAGAAAGATGGTATTTCAAATAGATGCAGTTGTGACGGTAGAAATGCAGATTCGATCAAGTCATTTGAAGGCGAGGAGCTCGTGGGCGCACAGGCGTCTTTGATGGGCTTACCCTGTTCACGAAAAACTTCAGTGACTAAGAGGGGGAATGGGATAATGCAATCCGAGTATCCCAGTGTTTGGTAAAAGTCTAGGTTCTTGCGGGCTATAAAAAGTTCAAAGTTTGATGGGATTTAGATCTAAAACCAAGCAGGCAAGAGACGAGAAGAGAGAGTAACCTGATAGGCAGTGAGCCCAGAATGACCCCGCTGCAGTTGAGAGCAGCGATCGCACTTTCAGCCTGCAGGAGTAATGGCACTAAAGCATGTAACGGAAGAAATATAACAGCTGATGATCAAAATTAAAGAAGCCGAGAAACTGTGTTGGAACAAGATAAGTTTATGTTCGAATTAGTATTGGCAAGGCAACCTAAGATGACCTATAACAGAATCTTTTGTAGCAATCTCGATGAGTACTGGAATCGCAAATTGTGATTCTCCTTCTAGAATGTGCAGTATTTCCTAATCACTTGTTACTGTTGGTTCATAAGCTATCAATATTAAACTTTTAAGGTAGAGTGCACAACATAGAACTAGGAAGAAAGAGCAAAGCAGAATATCAATTACCATTGTAAATTCAACAAAGGCAATACGGGTGGAATGGTGATAGTCTCCAAGCAGCCTCAAACGATAAACCTAAAGACGCAGGGAATCCCGTGAGATTATACATTAAACGAGGCTCATGTTCATAGTGAGGGGGAAAGAGTTACAAACCTCCCCACAAATGGATTCAAAGAAAAGCTTAACATCTGCTTGAGAAACCTGCTCAAACAAAGCCAGGAAAATACAACAGTTTCACAAAACAATCCTTGTCGATTGTTCGTACAATTTATTTATAATTAAAGCATAATACCTTCTTGTCAATATTTGTACAGTAAACTGTTCTTGCACACATTTCCCTTTCATCCTCATTCTGAAGTCCAAAATTGACAAATCAATATTATATATATATGGAAATAAGAAATTACAATGAAAACAGGGAGAGCAACCCACCCTGGGCAAAAAAGTGGGGTTCACGGGAGCAATTGCAGTTTTAGAAGGCAACACCTTCACGGGATAATATCCCAGCATGGTCCCCGAAAGACTGAGAGCAGCATGTGCACCTTCTGCAAAACCATAAATCCCAAGAATACATAAGACTCCAAATTCTAGGATTTTAGCAGTACACTCATGTTGCTCCAATTTAAGATTAGTTAGCTGTCATCGAGATTACCCTCGTCAGTAAACTCTATAAAAGCAAAGTGAAGGATGGACTTGGGGTCTCCACATATGCGGCAGTCCACAACCTTCATAGGAAATGAGGAGTAAAAGCTCATTAGCATGATGTTTTTAAGGTTTAACTATCATGTCAACTTCATTTCAGCAGGAAGGAAGAACAGTTCTACCTGGCCACAACCAAGAAACAGGCCTGCAAGCTGCTCCTCCGTAATCTAGACCAAAACAAACAATATATTACCCAAATAACTAAACTAGAAACGAAGGGACAACCTTAGCCAAGTTGGTCATGATGTTAATTTAATTCTTGGTTTGAGTGGTCAAGCTACGAGCAACCTAAACTGGTTTATCTACGGGTTTCCCTCTCTCTCAAAAACTAGAAAAATGTAGAGACATTATATTTTGAAGTCTGATTTTCTACCTGATGATCAATGTCAGATACATAAACAGTCCTCCTGATAACATCTTCCCTCTGTGCCAAAGTTGTCCTGCTATTCACTCTTCTCTTTCCTTGAGTATAGTTATTCTTCTATCAAGGAAGCCATAAACATAAAGCACATATACAAAATTATGACAAAGTACATATATAATTGAGGGTATGGAAAACTCATATACCCGCCGTCCATTGGAAACACCCTTGCCGGAGTTCATGAAAAAGAGGCCGTCATTGTTAGCCAGAGAAGGAGGGAGAAATTCCTCAGCCATGGGATTCAGCTTAGAGAACATCTCCTCCAGCTCCCTCATGTCCCTCTTTAACCCCTCCTCCTCTCCACTATCACTGCCGTTCACTTCGACCTCTCCGCCGCTGCTGCCGTCGTTCACCAGCGGCTGATCATCCAACCGCTCCTTGTGCAGCTGGTTGTTGCTATCATGCGCCTGGAAAGGATGGACCTTCATGTACAAGCCATTGGAGTCCGACATCAGATTGTTACCGCCGTTACTCTTCGGCTGATCACCGTCAGCTCCTCCGCCGCCGTTAACCACCGTATCCTGAGAAGCATTCTCCACCATTGCCATGATCAAAGGCAGGCTAAACCCTAGAGTACCCTGAGCTTAGCTAACCCACTGCTCTCTTAACTCACTCTAGATCGACGAATTTGATCAAGCCTGATGATGAAACAGAGAAAAAAAAAAGCAAAAGCCAGTCTTTTTAACCAGTGTTCGAAAGGAATCAAAATATCTTTGCGGAAAAGTATGAAACGCACCGTTTGAAGAGAAGTTCAAAGATTCTCCATTGACACTTGACAGACAAGAAAGATAAACTCGAGGAGATTGATTATTGCGGAGAACCCGAAATGGTTAAACGAAACCCACCCAGGAACCTCAAATCAAAAGAACGGCGAATGGAGACAAAATATAGAGAGGACCCAGAGACTATTTTCCCTTTTTTTCTTTCAATTTCCCCGATAGAGACTGAAGTGCGAAACCAAATCAGGATTTAATCAAGTTTAATAATGTTTTTCAAAAAAAAAAAAAAAACCTTAAAATTAGTGGATGGAGGTTGGGTTTTCGAGGTAGAATAATAGGGAGTAGGAATGCTGGGGATTGGGGTTGGCGCGTAGATATAGAAGGAAGCGTTGAAAACGATAAGGTTGCAGCTGCACTTTTAGGGAGCGTTTGGTTCAGGTTATATTATATAACCAAGGGAATGTGACATTCCCGAGCTTACATTCCTATGTTTGGTTCATTTTCTCTGAGGGAATATAACATTCCCAGGGAATGCAACATTCCCTCCACATAGGATTTTGAAGGGAATGTGATTCCCTTCATTTTGTTAGATAATGTAGGATAACCTTGCATATTTATGAATTTTGTCATTTTAATTCTAATTATTTAAAGATATATATTTTATGTTAGCTTATATATATATATATATATATATATATATATATATATATATATATATATATAAAAGATAAGATAACCCTAAACCAAACATAATTATATTACATACCTCAATTTTAACCAAACACAGGAATCTAACATTCCCAGTAATCTAACATTTCCAGCAATCTAACATTCCTAAGGTAATCTAGCATTCCGTGAACCAAACGGCCCCTTAGCGTACCTGTTTGCAAAACCTGGCCGTTTGCGGCTGCGTGCCCGCTCCATCCGACATCTGTTGCATTTTCTCCTACCTAACAAACTACTCCTTATCATAGGGACGCTACACCCCAAAATATTTGGAAGGACGCAAATTATCATTCTTCCAAAGGCTGAACCCTAACTTTAAAGGCCTCTACCCATCGACTCGATAGAGCATTTGAGATGATATAAATTATGGTAACTCAATGAACCATAGAGGCTAGACATTTGCTCACTGCGCACAAGGAACCCCTCACTTTGAAAGTATTCTCACACTGCCGCTGGTGAGACTCGATCCCTGAACGTAAATTATCATAATTTAAGAGATAGTATATAGTTTAAATATTAGCATTCAAAAAAGATAGTTTAAATAATAGCAAATTAAATTGGTCAGATTTTTAACTTAATAATTATAAAGTTACAAGTTCAATTTTGATTTATCTTCTTGTAACTATTTGTTAGCTATAGGCACTTGATTGTGTTTACCTAGTGCCTTATCGGGTATAATTGTAAATTTTTATTGTCATTTTAAAAAGAAAAAGAATGTTCGAGAATTAACTCAACTTTGAACATTTTACTTGCTACAAACTGTTGGATAGTGATTTTGTAATAAAATTTATTTTATTCTTCGACGAAAATAAAAGTCTTAAATAAACAATTTTTATAGTGATATACAATGGAGACTTGAGTTTAAAACGTATTATAAAATTTTGTCCTTATATAATTACGTTTACCTAGTGCCTTATCGCGTATGATTGCAAGTTTTCATTGTCATTCAGAAGAAAAAGAATGTTCGAGAATTAACTCAACTTTAAACATTTGCGACAAACTTCTAGATAGTGATTTTATAATAAAATTTATTTTATTCTTCGAGGATAATAAAAGTCTTAAATAAACAATAATTTTTATAGTGATATACAATTGAGAATTGAGTTTAAAATGTTTTATTGTGGAGAGGATTTCGGGATAACCCGAGTTCGATTCCCACAAGTGACGATTTTCTTTGGGCTAGCTTCTGTGCCTCCCGTTAAACGGATAGAAAAAGACCCGGATCACATTGTGGTTTACACACCAAAAAAAAAAAAAAAAAAAAATGTTTTATGAAATTTTACCCCTATATTATATACTACCGTATTACAAAGCATTTGGTCCAACAGCCAACATCATTACAAATCTATTATAGTCCTTAATTATTGCCATTCAATGACTCATGATTAAGGTTCCATATGGTGTAATTAAGTGGTTGACGTACTGCTAATTAGTTAAGTTAGAGTATTCACACTGATTCGGTCAAAGTATGTATGAGGTCCCTGTACTATAGTGTTTTGTTTAATTTAGTCCTTTTATCTTAATTTTGTTCAATTTAGTCCATATACTTTAAAAAGTGAAACAATTAAGGATAATAGTTTATATGGCGCTAACATTATCTCCGCCACGTCATCATACTTACATGCCAACTCATATATTATTTTATAAATATTTAAAATTAATTATTTTTACCACCAATATATTACATTAATATGTCCAAAATAAGCTACATCAACTATTATCCTTAATTGTTTCAATTTTTAAAGTGTAGGGACTAATATGAACAAAATTAAAGTAAAAAGACTAAATTAAACGAAATACTATAGTACAAGAACTTCGGAGGTACTTTGACCCACTGATTCTCCACTTATCTTTCTATTTTGTGAATTCAACTCTATCTCCTCTCATATTTTCTCTATAACCATTTTTATATTTTCTCATTTTTTTGGGTCATACTATTTCTCACTCCTACACATTATATATCATTTTATTCACTTTTCTATATTTTAATACTTTATAATTTTAACTTTATAAATATAATTTCTAATTTTGATATTAAATAAAGGGAAAATATATTTTAATTTATTTAATTTAATTCAAGTAAAATAAATTTTTTAAAATATATTAATACACACTCTACGGCTAAATAGTTGTTGAGATGTATTTAAAATGGTAATTAACATTTCAGTATGTCGTTGAGGCTGATAATCACTATTTTCTACTATACTAATAAAGATCTACTATACTAATAAGAGCCCAAGAGAGTTAGGCCTATAATGGGTAGAAAAAATGGCGGTCACAGATTCTAATCAAATGTATGGCTCAGATTGATTAAAAGATTGATCAGATTTAAATTTTACACTAAAATTTCCTAAAATACTCACACACCGTTACTAATTCCACCGTTACTAATTCCGTTAAAATTTTAAGAATTACCGTTAGTTCACCGTTAACTTACTCATTGATTTCAATAAAAAAAGGTCTTAAGTTCGAACCTCATCCCAATCAAAGTTGGCATAATTAGTACTCTATTTTACTCTTATTAAATTATATAAATAATAATTTAGTAGTTACAACGAAAAATAATACATATGCATTTCTTTAATTTAAAATTATGTGTCCACAATGTCTTTATTCAAAAAAAAAATTATTCATTATCAATAAATTAAATAAGAGAAATAATTTTATTAGTTATATTGTCTTTATTTTTCTTCAATATAAAAATTCTTTATATTCAAATTTATTAATTGATTATATTCGCTACATTATCTTTACAATGTCTTTATTCAGTGAAAAAAAATTATTAATTATCAATAAATTAATTAAAAGAAATATTTTCATTAGTTATATTGTCTTTATTTTTATCAAATGTAAAAATTTTTACATTCAAATTCATCACTTGATTATATTCACTACATTATCTATTATCTTTTTTTTTGTGCACTATTTTTCTAATTAAATATCAAAGTTATAATACAAAATAATGCTATATATTTATTTACCAAGTATTTTATTAATACCATGAAAAAATTAAAAAAATATATAATTAATAAAGCCAACCATATTAACTACTTGAGAGATTTTGTGACAAAAAGAGTATTCAAATCACACAACAAATTGAAGTGAGAACTACCTCGCAATGTCCTTGTTTGACAATCAGCAGTTAGCGGTTAGCGTTAGCGGATTATACTAGCGGATTTGACCAGCAAATTTATTTAATTATTAACATTGGGTAGAAAAAATGACCGCCAAATTATTAAATCAAATGAATGGTTCATATTGTTCAGGTTTTAATTTTTTTCTTTTAAGATTTTATAATTTATCCTTAATTATATGATTATATATTTAACTTTTCCGTTAATTCACCCTTAGTCTAATTCTAATATTAAAGTCTAATATAGAATTATAACTACACCATTAATCTAATTCTAATATTAAAGCTAAGTCAAAAATTATTCATTATCAATAAATTGAATAAGAGAAATAATTTTATTAGTTATATTGTCTTTATTTTTCTTCAATATAAAAATTCTTTATATTCAAATTTATTAATTGATTATATTCGCTAATGTCTTTATTCAGTGAAAAAAAATTATTAATTATCAATAAATTAATTAAAAGAAATATTTTCATTAGTTATATTGTCTTTATTTTTCTCAAAATATAAAAATTTTTACATTCAAATTCATCAATTGATTATATTCACTACATTATCTATTATCTTTTTTGTGCACTATTTTTCTAATTAAATATCAAAGTTATAATACAAAATAATGCTATATATTTATTTACCAAGTATTTTATTAATACCATGAAAAAATTAAAAAAAAAATATATAATTAATAAAGCCAACCATATTAACTACTTGAGAGATTTTGTGACAAAAAGAGTATTCAAATCACACAACAAATTGAAGTGAGAACTACCTCGCAATGTCCTTGTTTGACAATCAGCAGTTAGCGGTTAGCGTTAGTGGATTATACTAGCGGATTTGACCAGCGAATTTATTTAATTATTAACATTGGGTAGAAAAAATTACCGCCAAATTATTAAATCAAATGAATGGTTCATATTGTTCAGGTTTTAATTTTTTTCTTTTTAAGATTTTATAATTTATCATTAATTATATGATTATATATTTAACTTTTCCGTTAATTCGCCCTTAGTCTAATTCTAATATTAAAGTCTAATATAGAATTATAACTACACCATTAATCTAATTCTAATATTAAAGCTAAGTCTTAATAGAACTTAACCACAAATCCTAATGTCGGAATCTCCTCAAACAATATTAATATATATTTAATATTTTATGCCCTAATTTTTATTTGTTTTCCTTTATGTCCCGTATTTGGTTTCAACCATACCTATACAATTATTTTATTGCCAATTATAATCAATCTTGACTATATTATCTTGCATTTGTAAACTTAGAATTACCTATTTAACCCGTACGGGCTTAACTCAATGGTTTAGTGGGTAGTATTTGGGAGAAGAGACCAAGGTTTGAACCTCGGCAGCGGCAGTGCGGGAATTATGTCCAAAGTAGGTAGATTCCTTGTGCGTATCAGAATTTGGCCCTGTCTACTGAACCATTGAGTCACCGTGATTTACAACTTCCTACAATGCTCTGTCGGGTCGGAGTGTGGGGGGCCTTGGGGTTGGGGACTCAACCTTTGGGAGAAAAATTACCTATTTAAATACACAAATTCAACCTTCAATTATCATGAACAATTTCAATATAATCCTACCTTAATATACTTTAAAGTACTTATTTAAAAAAAATGCATTGGACATTATCCAATCGCGCAATGCGCGTAAAAAACTAGTTTTAATAATAAATGCCAAGCTAAAGTAGGGGACATGTTGTCTCCACTTAACGCGATGTGCCATGCACCGCAAATTATATTCTTCACATACAAAGTTCTATCCGAAAAATATGATTTGCTTCCCTCTAATTATTTTATCTTTCTTTTTCTCCTTTCTTCCCATTTAATCTCCTTCAATGTAGATGCTCTTAAGTCAGCAAATTGATGCATACAAATCTTTGGCAACGACTAACCAACTACAACACTAAAATAGTTTTTTTTTTTTTTTTTTTTAAAGTTTAAGAAATAGCATTGTAAAATTTTAATATTAAAAAAAAAAAAATCAAAGGTATACAGAAAAATAGAAATCTTTTTTTTTTCATTTATTAAATTAGTTTAATAGCTCGCACACATGAGAAATAGCTTAAGTTTCAACATGTCGACTTTTGTTGTGCTTTTTAGCTGTCATTAATGTAACTTTGAGCAATGGTTATGCTGTGCAAAATGACGTCGTTTTGACTAAAAACGCGCATCCCATTTAAAAAAAAAAAAAATTAGGTTCGATTCTCGGCAATAGCATTATTGTGGATATATAGTTATGAATTTCTGGATATATAGTTATGAATTTGTGGATATATAGTTATGAATTTATGGATATTTAGTTCATTCATTGTGGATGTTTAGTTCATTCATTGTAGATATTTACTTCATTCATTCACTGTGGATATATAGTTATGAATTTCTGGATATATAGTTATGAATTTATGGATATTTAGTTCATTCATTGTAGATATTTACTTCATTCATTCACTGTGGATATTTAGTTCATTCATTGTGAATTTTTACTTCATTCATTCACTGTGGATATATAGTTATGAATTTGTGGATATATAGTTATGAATTTATGGATATATAAAAATGCTATTACCGGGAAGCGAACCTGATTTCTTCTTTAAGTGGGACGCACGTTTTTTACCAAAACGACGTCGTTTTGCATCGAATGCACCATGCGCATGGTGCATTCGGTTGCACAGCATAATTTGCGAACTTTGAGTATGTTATATTTTATTTATAAGAAAGTTCACAGTGGCAATCATAATGTTAATTTTTGGGCCTTTCAGATGGAGTTGAATTTGGAATTTTGTGATTACTAAGTCAAGTACTCGATTAATTTGGTGAGATTATTATATACTTTTTAAATTTATAGAAAAATTTATAGTCGTTAACCGAATGTGCACTTTGAATTAAGTCCGATCCGATTGATGACCCTAGCGATCTTGACAAAGATGGCGATAGTTTGTGTAAAATAAGTACTAATATGTAGTTAATTATAAAATTTTTTATAACTTTTACTAACATTTTACTATTTTTAGTTCTAAACTAACAAGTTTATTTTTAAACAAATTTATAATTTAGTCATTATATTTGAATATTTCTATTATTTTATGTTTTAATATAACTAGTGAATTTTATTATATGTAAGTAATTTAAATATTATTTTAATTTTTTAATAAGATAATAAGTGGTGGGTACCCGTAGTGACACTCGCACCAAGTGGGGCAGGGGTGGGTTTTGAAAAAGTTAACTCATTGTGAGGTTGACGGTGGGGGTAGGTGGTTAAAATATAAATTAGGTCGGGTGATGGATATAGTCCTTCCCGGCCCATTGTAAATTTGTCATCCATACAAATGGGATGTTATGAAAAAAAAATGACTAAAAGTGAAAGAGTTAATATCCAAAATGGCCATCGACTATAATGATTTTTCTCGATTTGTCCTAAACGACTTTGGTGACCTAATGTAGTCCCATACTTTTGTGCTTTTTCTCAATTTAGTCATCGGTTTGTTATTCCGTCAAATTTGCATTAAATAGATGGACAATTCAGTAATCTTAATATTGGTTTCTCTTTACTCTCAGCATTGCAAAGTGTGAAATCCATTTTTCTTTTATGAATTACTCCCATAGTTATCCCAGACATGCGAATCAAATTTTATATTCGCAGGTTTGGGAGTAATTCATAAAAGAAAGTGGGATTTCGCACTTTGCAAGTCTAGGAGTAAAGATGTGTCAATATTGAAATTACTGAATTATCGCTCTATTTAACATCAGATGGACGGAATAACAAACAGAGGACTAAATTGAGCAAAAACACAAAAGTTTGGACTACACTAGGTCAGCAAGGTCGTTTAGGACGAAATTGAGAAAAAAACATTATAGTTGATGACCATTTTGGGTATTAACTCCAAAGTGAAAATGGCACATGTCAATCTAAGACCAAAAAAGAATGAATTAACACTTAGAACTGAATAAATCAAAATGTCATTGTATTTAACGTCATTTAAACGGTTTTGTTGAGGTATGACCAAGCATACTCATGCCACAATAATACTAGAACCAAATGAAATGTTTTGAAAAATTAATTAAAAGTAAACCTACATCTATAAATTTAGAACAAAAAATAAAATTAAAATTAACTTTTAATTTTATTTAAAAGTGCAATTAACATTGCTTTTCATTTTTATCAAAAAATAAAAACATTACTTTTCATTTATGGGGTGTAATTATAATGCAATTATAACACAATTTTTTGAACTCCGCAATTACAATTTGGTTGGAGGGATTGGAATTGCAATTCACTTCATTTGTCGATAGAAATTCATGCCCCCTATATGAATTCCAATTCAATATATCATGAAAATGAAAAAGATATAGAAATATCCATTTTGCCCTTAGTTATTATTATTACGGAGTATTGTTATTATTATTATTATATTAAATGGTATATGTCTTTGTCACTTCTTTCATTCACATTCATAATAATTTTATTCCTTCCTATCAAATAATGTAATTCAAATTCATATTTTATTTTTATCTTATTCTTTTCTTACAAAATTACAAAATTTTTTCTCAAATAGAAATTCATGCCCCCCATATGAATTCCAAACCCATGTTAATGACAAATTAGTTCGTAAGGTCAAACTGAAAGTCGTAATCACTAATCAGTAAAGTAAATAGTCAGGTGTTCGGGTTATTGCGTTTTGGTAGAAACTGGCAAAGCCGAGCCGAGCCGAGCCAAGATGGCAGACGTGACGGACGCCAAATTTATTTCCACAACCGGAATTAAATTGCCCTTTTGGATTCCGCCCGGTCTCGCATTTCTTCCTTGGAGTTCTAGAACGAAAGCGATCTTCAGAGTCACAAACTTGGCTTCCCGCCTAGCCTTTCTCACTGCCGGAATTCTGACCTTCAAGCCGCTTCTATCACACCGTCTTATTTTGCTTCCTCGCCGTAGCATCGACGGGCCACGGGGACCGGGGACGAGATTTCGCCTTTCGGTACACATCCTTAAACTGTATTCTCGACACTCCTTGTTTTGTGAGTTTAATATTGAAGAATTTCATAGCTATGGCTTTATGTTGCTCTTTTTGTAATCTGTTAAATGATGCCGACGTGTGAGAGTGGAGGGATTGTTAGCTTGTGGTTAAGCAATTCGTGGAGAATCGTGGTCAGTTTAGGATTTTGTTTTGATTAGGGTTAGAGAGAGATAGAGAGAGGGAGGTAGAAGAATGAAGAGTCGATCGAATGGACTGCCGATGCCAAATCCGCAGGATGACTGGGGGGATGGTTCATGGACTGTGGACTGTGTGTGCGGGGTGAATTTTGACGATGGAGAGGAGATGGTGAATTGTGATGACTGTGGTGTGTGGGTGCATACGCGGTGTGTGGGATATGTCAAGAGTGAGAAGCTGTTTGCTTGTGATAAGTGTAAGAATAAGAACAGTAGAAATGATAGTGAGGAAACTGAAGTTGCACAGCTCCTGGTGGAATTGCCAACTAAGACATTGAATATGGATAATCCATTCAATCCGAGCTTTCCTTCACAAAGGCCCTTCAGGCTCTGGACTGATTTGCCCATGGAGGAAAGGGTCCATGTGCAAGGGGTTCCAGGAGGTGATCCCGCTTTATTTGCTGGGATCTCATCAATTTTTAGCCCTCAACTGTGGAAATGTACTGGATATGTGCCCAAAAAGTTTAATTTTCAGTATAGGGAGTTCCCCTGTTGGGACACTGAAAATAATGTGGGCGATGACAAGCACCGTGATGGAAATAATGAAACTACTACTGATAATGGTGCTGGTGTTCTATTCTCCTTATCAAAGGAAAGTAACTTGCCGGCACCTGTGTCTAACTCGGTTGCTGTAAAAAGTGATGCCAAGGATGGCAAGTGTGATGTATCATCTTCAAAACAGACAAAAAGATTGGATGGTTCTGATTCAGATGGTATCAACTTGTATAAGAATGTGAAGAAGGATTCCAGTTCAGTACATCGCATTACGATACACTCTGGAAAGCGTAAGAAAGAAGAATTTGGGATATCCAAAGATCATGGGGGAAAGATGAGAAAGAAAGCCCAAATTGTTGAAAAAGAGGGAGATTTTAAGAAGAAAGACCCGCATATCAGGACAGGTGATATTTTAAACTTCACATTGTAGATATTTTATATTATTTCTTTAGAAACTATTGCATAAATTTGTAGGATCTATTTGCTTCTTTGTGTAGCTGCCATTCTGCCAAAGACAATGTTTCCATTTTTATTCTTCAAAACATTTTTGCACTTAAAATTCTTTTTTGACTTTGATTTTTCTTATTATTTTAGCTTGCAAAATTTTAAATGGCGAGAAAGAAATGCAATTTTATGAAGATAGAAGCTATAAAGTTGTCAATGCGGATGCTCACAGAACAAGCAGTGGATGTTTGGAAGGGGCTTTACCCAATGATTGCTTGGCAGAAGGTCCTCAAAGGTTGGATACTGATTGTGGTTATTACAAAGGCACTTCAAATTCAAGCGACCAGCATTCAAAAATGTCATTGTTTGATGTATCTAAACAAAACTCCTCTAGTGAAACACTTCTACAAGAGCAGAATCTAAACCAAGCTGCTTCAAAGGTTCAGAATTTGCAAAGGGAAAAAGATGGAATGGCAGCATCATTCCTAGAGCACAGCCAATCTGCCAATTTACCTATAAAAGAGGAGGTATGGCTTAAGATGTTTCATGATGTGAATGTGTATGTCATGTCGTTATGATGATAGTGAGCTACTACTTATTCTGATATATCACTGTTATGTGCAGTGTTTACTTATCACAATGAGATGGTTTATGATGTGAATATGTATGTTTTGATGATAATGAGCTCTACTAATTCTGATATATCACTATTAGCTTGCGGTGTTTACTTATTGAGAAGGCAAACCTATGACCTCTATCTTTTGTGTGTGTGTTTGTGTTTATGGCTCCTATAGTCTTTGAATTAACCTCCTGCTAGTTTCCAGGAATAGGAAAAAAATTTGCATTATCCAAGTCCCCCGTAAACTGAATTATTCTTGATTTTGAGCATACTATTGCTTTCCTGCCACTCTTCTGGCTTAACATTGTACTATCATGGTTAGGATGGTGCTGGTGGTAGAGAGGCTTCGACAATTAGTGCGAAGATTGAATTGCAAAAGTCAGAGTCTGTTACAACAGCCACAGTAAGTGATGATCTTGAAGTTAAGAGTCTTCAAAATTGTCATGATTTGACTGGTGACAATGTGACTTGCTCTTCAGTGCCTGAAACTGATGCAAAAGCAGATGATGTTCATGGAGACTTTGATATTCAATCTTCATCTCCATGTGATGCAATGTTAGAAAGAACAAGATCCTTGCCCCATCATGCAGACACATCTAATATTCTCGTGTATGAAAGTGTTAAGGTAAATGATGCACCTGTAGTTAATACTGAAGGTAGGGACCATAAATCACAGGATGTTGACAGTAGTAGCACAATTCTTGGAAATAATAAAATGAAGAATGCTGATGGGTTATCTCGTGATCTTTTTCAATCTAATCAAGAATCAACAATATCTGAAGATACTGAGAGAGCAAAGAATAGCTCATCAGGGCTTAAACATGGTACAAAACCTGCTGAAGATGTGGCTAAACCCAGTTCAACAACCATTAGTACAGCAACAGCTCCAAGTCAGCGCAAAGTGATAGTGACTATGGGGAAATCCTCTTCAACCTCATCGACTTCTTTGATTCCAAAACCGTCTGCTTCTGAGAGCTGTGTATCTTCTAATGCTCATAATCATGATATTAATAGTATGCAGAGGGGAAAGTCTGACAATAATCATAGCAGTAAGACGGAGGCTACCTCATTTAATGTTGCTAGGGATGAAGAGGGGCATGAAAATCCTAAGAAAGTGGTAAAAGAGCTTCCAAAGTCTTCTGTTGGATCTGCATCAAAAGCCCGAGTGACCAAGATCACATATGCTTCATCTTCTAAGAGAACCTTGTCTGATTCAAAGGATTCCATGCCTCATTCATCTCATAGGACCATTTCAGTGAGAAATGTGTCTGCTAATTCAGGCTCTGGTGAATCTTCTAGTTCGTTGCAAAGTGAAGGGGCATCAAGTGTTCAGAATAAACCCTCAGGTACAATTTTACACCAAAAGGGTGATAAGGTAAACCAGTCTGGAAGCCAACCTTCAGTAAAAGTTAGTGCGACTCTGATGCACCCTCCGACAGTGTCATCCTCTCCAGCTGCGCTGAGTGATGAAGAGGTAGGAAAAACAAATGCATCTTCTCGTTGCACTTTTAAAAATATACATATATACATACATGGGTTTACAACTTTTCTTATTTTGAGCAGCTTGCTTTACTCTTGCATCAACAACTCAATAGCTCTCCTAGAGTTCCTCGGGTGCCACGGATGCGTCATGCTGGTAGTTTACCGACTATAACTTCCCCGGCAGCTACGAGTACGCTAATGAAGCGAACATCTAGTGGAGGAGTAAAAGACCATGGTTTGGTAAGCTGCTTCCATTGCCCTTAACTCCTTATTACAGATGCACAATCCAATTTGGCTCAATTCTACTGACTTTTCTTATCTACTTTTATTTCTTTACAGACATCTAGAAGAAGAAAGGATTCAGGTAAAGATGGTTCCATCAGTTCTAGGGAGGGGGTTGATGAAGCTAAGAAGAGGGAAGGATTAACTTCTCCTGATTATAGAAGAGAAGATACCCATGCCAAGCGAGAAGCAGAAATTGGATCTTCAAAAAGTGTGCTCTCTTTGAAGAAGACTAGCCCTTCTTCATCCACTGCAGCTGGGAGTAATGGTTGTCCTTCCTCGCATGAAGCAAAAGAACAGAAGTTGTCTTCTCGCAATTCACAGCGAAGTACTGTTGGTGATGATGCTAGAGTGACTGGGCGCCCTTCACATCGTACTTTACCAGGTTCTTTCTCATTTATACAATTAAATCTCTGCCTGTTTATAGTAATGCTTCTGGTTAGTCATCATTTCTAAATTTTGACATTGTAGCTTTGATTGCTGAGATTATGAGCAAAGGTGAACGCATGACATATGAAGAACTCTGCAACGCTGTTCTGCCGGTATGGTTGCTTTAAGAATATACTACTTTCCCTTTCATGAGTTTAATCTCTCTCTCTCTCTCTCTCTCTCTCTCTTTTGCCTATTTTATTTTGAGTAAAACTGGGGCTCATTAAAATCTTTCTGCTTTTATGCAGCACTGGCCTCACTTGAGGAAACACAATGGAGAGCGTTATGCATACTCAAGTCACTCTCAGGCTGTTCTTGATTGCCTTCGAAATCGAAGTGAATGGGCATGCCTTGTTGATCGTGGTCCCAAGGTATGTTTCTGAAATTTCAATCAATTTACAACAAGAGTGTATATGAAACTGCTGGGGTGTTGTTAGTGGTGAATAATGGTTATGTCAAATTGGCACAGAAATGCCATATAGCTGACTTTATTTATAAGCTTATGAAAATGGGGGTGTGCATATGGTGGACCTTTTGATCTTTTTATGTGTGTATATGTATAACTCTTTCTGAATGGACTCATATTGGTCCAGTCTTGCGCAAAAAAATGTAGTTTTTGCTGGAATGGGAGGAGTAGCTGTTTTGTTTGATATGTGAACAAAGTAAATGGAATAATTCATATTTCCTCTATTCTAGAATAATTTCTATGAACCTTAACATTATTTGACTTGGGTAGAGATTAAGGGTGTGTTTGGTTCATGGGTTTACGCATTAGGAATAGAATCAAAATCATAGTTAGTGTTTGGTTGACAACTTTTTAAAACACAACTATGAGATTTGATTGCCCCCTCAATTAAAACCCTCATTCCCTAATTAAAAACGGGTATCATTCCATTTATTAGTAATCTGATTTTTAAGTTTGGGTTAGTGCTTTTAGATTTTTGTTTTGATTTTTTTGTTCATATTGGTGCTTTGGATGTCATTATATTAGGATCAATTGCCTTGATTTTTTGTTTTTGTATTTTAAAAACCTTTATTCCTATTATAGGGTTATACATAACCAAGCATCAATATTGGTTATACATAACCAAACATCAATATTGGTAATCATTCCAATTTCATCCTACTACCAAACATGCAAAGTACTTTCACCAAAACCCATTAACATTACAAGTATTTGATTCCCATTCTGTTTCCGATTCCCATGTGCGAACCAAACACACCCTAATATGCATGTAAACCTCTCCTTGTGACCCTTTTCCCTTAAAAAAAGTAGTTTTGTTGACCTCCACGAGTGTGGAGATGCAATAGGAGAGATATGGTGGTTTCAATTTAATTATACAAGACAGATTACTACTTTCAAAAACTATGTAAGACAGATTACTAACCTTTTGCTCTGAATTATATTTATTTTTGTCAGACAAACACAAGTAGAAAGAGGCGCAAACTTGATAACGATTCTCATAGTAATGAGTTAGAGGATAATGAAGATGGAAGTGGGAGGGACAGGAGTGGCAAAGACGTAAGCAGCAGCAAGTCTTTGGAGTCACCCCAGGAAGAGTACCCTAAGCGAAAGAGGAACACACGGAAGCGGAGGCGTCTGGCTCTAAGAGGAAGAGGTATCAAGGATGTTAGGAGAAGACATCGGGCCGGGGTAGTGAGTGATGATGAGGATGATGAAACTGCGTCATCTTCAAGTTCTAGCGATGACAGCATGTTCAGTGAAGATGATATGGAAGGCGGCGCAACCTCTCCAGCTACAAAAGAGGCATCTGGTAGTTCAGATGACAGAACAATGTCCTAATCTAGTAATAGTTGTCTGTTCTCAGTTTGATAAATGTAGTATGAGGAGTAATTAGCAGATTCTTTAGTTTGTATATCCATCCATCCCTGTAGCAATTGGGTGTTTTGGTAAAATGTTGTTGGGCAAAATGTGCCTTTATATGTCACTGCTTATGCTCCAAATGTAACATATCAGCTACTAAATTCTAATCCCTAATCAAATGTCACAGCTATTATACCAGCTGTGCTATCTAGTCTAGTCTAGAAGATAGAGTAGTGTTGATATTTGAATGCCTCAGCTTCATATATGTCATTATATTATTATAATAATTATAATTATAAGAAAAAGTGAGTCTGCAAAACAAATAATTAATACAGCAGAGTAAAATAATGATACTCCTTTCTAATAATAATAGTAATAACAAAAGAATAATCCTCCCGCTGTTGAGAATTGATTCCAAAAGTAAAGTAGTCCCGTAAAAGTGCAGGAATCACATTATTCCTCTCCTCCCCCTTCTTCCTTGTCTTCTGATTTCTGAACACAAAAAATTCTAAACTCTGTTCAATAATTGGGTGAGCAACATAATGGATACTGCAATCTGCAAAAACATCTCTACTCTTCTGCACTTGCACAGCATTTGTCTCGCCTGAAATTCATCGCAACAATCAATTTACGTACTCTTTCAGTATAACAATTGAAATTTGCTACCAAAGATAAATATCAGCTATTCTTTCTGTTTTAAAATAGAAATAAATGGAAGTATTAAAAAACTAAATTTCAATCACAAAGTAGAGAGCACCTAAATTAAGGTAAGCCAAATTAGATGTGTTGTGTACAGCTAGCTAATGCTAATGTCAAAAGGCAAAAAGAAAACCGACAAAAAGTGGAAGGGCGCACCGAATCCGAAGAAATGGACAGATAGCCTGTGGAAGAAGTTCCCGGTGGAGAGGACGACGTTGACGGCGTAGATCCTCCGGAGTTTGTTCCGGAACCGCCTGAACTAATGTTTGTACTGAGGTTGATTCCGAGAGGATAGGCTGGGGTTCCGTCGGGCTTGAAGAGCCCGTAGTTGCGCTCCGAGGTCGGGCCGGGCTTCATGTTCTCGTTGAACATTGCAAAGACGTAGATGTTCAAATCGTTAGTCGGCCTCATCGGAGTTCCCTTCTTAGAAGTCATGAGCTTCATGAGGTTGCAGTTGTACTTCCTGGCGTTGTCCTCCGTCGCTCCGGCCTCGTCGGCGTCGCCCTTAGACGGCCATCCCGTCTCCGAGATCTGCACGCACACATTCTTATACCCTAGCGAATCTAAAGCAGAGTGAACCGCATCCATCTGAGCAAACAACATATTATCATAGTGAAGATTGGAGACGGGATCAACAATCCCTGGATTTGGCTGGAACAGCACGAAATCCAGCGACACTTGCTTCGGATTCGCCTTGTACGCAAAATAGGGATACGCATTGATCAGAAAAGGCGAGCTGGTTTTGACGTGGAATTCCAGGATCTGGCAAATGCAATCCACTAGATCTCGCCGGAACGCCCCTGCGGACGGCGGATACGAAGTCTCCAGCACCGCCAGAGAATGCGCGGTTGTCACCGTCACTTGCTTGTCCAGGTTGAGACTCACCAGAGCGGCGTGAACGCTCTGCATTGCCGGGAGCAGGTTGCCGGAGAGAGTAGTGTCATTGAAGGTCAGGACTTCGTTTCCTACGGCGATGCAGGTGATTTTGGTCGCCGGCAAATACGCCTGCACGTTCTGCTTAACCCAAGCTTGAGCTTTCGCAGGATCCTTAATTTTAGACAAGTACTCGTTGGGGACACTGACAATGAACTCCACATTAGTGTTGCCAAAAGCTTTGAGCACTTTAGGATCCGTGTCATACAGCTTCAACCTGGTGGCCCCGACGGCTTTCACCAACGGCACCACATCCTCCGGCGAAGGCAGATTGTCAGCAACCTGGCCGTAGTTGATCCCAATCGACGCCGCCAATCCCTGGTACGCTATCAATAAAACTACAAAACCACTCAATTACAATCTATCAGGCATAACGTACAAAATTAAAAAAATAAAAAATTAATTCAAGCAAAAATAGTATACCATAGAAAAAGAATGGAATAGAAAAACGGAGACGAGAAGGGAACAAGGCTTCCCCCCTCCCCATTAATGGCGTAGTGAGAGAGAAGATTGGAGTTAGCTGAGGTTCTGAATGGGGGAACTACTGGAGATTGGAGTAGTAATGGAGTGTGATATTATATAACGGCGTCAGGAATAGCCGTTAAAGTTTGCACTGATATTGCACTTTAGCTGCTTTTGAGCAAGCAACTAGCTTTAGGTGTCACAAATACACAGGCTAAACCCTTAATAATTATATAATAAAAATGTTACTCTAATTTTAATTATAATTAATTGTTCATATTTCTTTAGGCGTATCACTACTCTAGTAAAAACGATTACATAAAAATATGAAAGATTCGCCGTTATATTTGATTCCCCATTACTTTTGAGTATTTAAAAAAAAAAAAAAAAGTGAGGGATAGGTTTATGGGAAATAGGGAGTGAATATTGAATAGTGTTAATTAAAAAAAAAGGGAGGATATGACTAAAATTCAATTTGAGGTCCCCACTTATCATAAAGTTTTGTAGGAAAAAGGAAATTATAGGAAGTGTTTTAATGATTTACGAGTTTTTCAAATGCTGGTACATTAACACATGTAACAGTTAATGAAGGAAACCAATTTAGTTTAGATGTATTTGGAGCAGAATTATTATGGTTGCTTTAGTTAGAAGGAGGGTAGGAAAGTGAGAAACAAATTAAAAGAAGAAAGAATGGGGGAGTCAGAAATGTAAAGTTTAGTTAGTTTTGTACAATCGAGCAAGAAATCGATTAGACTCTGCGTATAAAAAGTATGTTATTCCTTTGAGATGAGAAAGAGAGAGAAGCAGTGTCCACTCCTCTGAGATGCTTTGATTGATTAGGAGGCTAAAGAGTAAAGCCTGGCTTTTGATGTTATGGGGAATTTCACATCTGGTTTATGCAGTCCCACACATAATTTAATATGGGACCACAAACCTATTTTCCTATACCAAATCTGATTAGTTACGAGAGTATTACTTTTTAAAAATATTTTTAAAAAATAAATTACAATGATGTTTCTGAAGTGAATTTGACATTGAATTGGTATGGGGAGGTGCAGGGTAAATGAATAGGGAAAGGGGTTGAAAGGTCACAACTCACATGGTTAGCAACTTGAAACAAGATGTGCTTTTAAGACTCCTTTTTTTTTTTTTTTTTTTTGCTTTCTTGTAAATTCGGTGCATCACCGCCCCTCTGTAGCACCGGACAAAATACGTGGCATCCAATTCAACATTGTCGGAACTCGGCCAAAAACCGCAAAATCATTGCATGTGGGTGGGTTTGGTAAAAGGTTAAATAAATTTTTGACATTATACATACGAGAAATTAATTAATTTCTTGAATTTTTACAAATCATAATTTGGTCTATTAATTAGTAATTTTTGTACATTTAGGTTTAAGAATTGATTAATTTTCGATAATGTCGGTAATATCTGATGTGACAATTAACGTAACATTTTTAAATAAATAAATAATAATAAATTCATATTAAATTATATATATACGATGGTCATAAATGTCTTATTCTTCTTCTTTCGTCTCTAAATCTGGAGACGAAGAGGGTAAGCATTTATGGCAACCAAGGCGGCCTGAAACTTGGGTCTGAATGCAAAAAATGTTAGTCATGATCGACTTTTTTATTATTATTATGTATTGAAAAAAAAAAAAAAAGTCACATAAGATGTTATCAGCTTTTACGGGGAGTTTAATGGATCTTTGGGTCTGAATGCAAAAAATCACTAATTGATAGATTTAATTGTAACTTTTAGAATTTCAGAGATTAATTAATTTCTCTATAAAGTTCAAGAATCTATTTGATAATTTTTTTTTTTCAGTAATGTTATTTGATCTTATTTTCTTTGGTGCAACAAAAAAAAAAAAAAAAAAAAAAAAGAGAAATCTTTTGCCCTGAACTTATATACTCGACTCTACAAAATTGTATGTAGAGGAGTTAAATTATGATGATTGAATAGCATCTTTCACTTGGTAAGAGATAAATAAACCATGAATTAGGAATTTGAACGGAACAAAAAAAAAAAAAAAAAAAATCTAAATACACCTCCAAACTTGAAAAAAGAATGCAATTCACCCTCGTGACTTGACGTAGCAAGTAACTAGCTTACTTGACAAGTTGGCAATCTACTTTCCCTTTTTTTTTTTTTCTTCATAGTTTATTGCGAAGCTTGTATTTCTAGTTATTAGGACTCTATGTATATGAGTCTGTTTAGAACTTCTTATCCTTGTCATACTGTGACTCTCTACTTTTTATCATTGTCACACTGTGACTCTCTATTCTATATATTCACATCATCTGATCTCATTGTAATCAAGTTCAGAAAATATAATACAATCAGTTCTCATCTGGTATCAGTTAGTTAGGGTTTTGTGATTCATAAAATCAAGAAGATGCAGCGCTGCGATGACAACCTTAATTACCGTGGAGGTCAACAACGTGGCTTCGATGATCCGTGTCAAATCTGTAAAGGTTTCGGCCACACAGGAGTCAATTGTTTTTGGCGCTATGATGATCCGTGTCAAATTTGTAAACGTTTTGGTCACACGGGAGCCAATTGTTTTTGGCGCTATGATGATCCGTGTCAAATTTGTAAACGTTTTGGTCACACGGGAGCCAATTGTTTTTGGCGCTATAATGATCCGTGTCAAATTTGCAAAAGTTTCGGTCACACGGGAGTCAACTGTTTTCGGCGATATTCAGGGGCTCCGGGTTCTCAGGCTAATTTGGTGTTTCAGAATGGTTTAGTTGCTAAAACCTCGTCAAATTCTCATACTTGGGTTTCGGACACCGGAGCCACAAATCATGCAACTCCGAACATTGCTGCCCTTTCTACAATGGAGAAGTACACTGGTAATGACACTTTACGTGTCGGTGACGGTATGGGTTTATCTATTAGTCATGTTGGCCATGCCTCTTTTAATACCCCTTCTAGATCATTTACATTGTCTGATATACTTCACGTTCCGCGTTTGTCTATTCTTTATTATCTGTTCAGAAGTTTGCATCCGATAATAAAGTCTTTTTTGAGTTTCACCCCTCCTTTTTTGTTGTCAAAGATATCAATACCAAGGAAATACTTCTTCGGGGCAATAGTTCGGGGGGACTATACACACTTTCATTACCTAGTTCATCTCCGTCAGCGTTTATTTCCGCTCGTGCCTCGGCTTCCACTTGGCACAATCGTCTGGGTCATCCTCATAACCGTGTTCTTAGCCATATACTTCGTTCTTGTTTGGTTAGTGGGTCTCGTGATAATATTCGTTGTCATAATTCTTTATGCAATGCGTGTCAATTAGGCAAATCTGCCCGTTTTCCCCTCCCCCGTGTTGCTTCTTCTAGTTCTCAAGTCCTAGATCTTATTTACACAGACATTTGGGGTCCTGCGCTCACTTTATCTACTTCTGGCTTCCGTTATTTTGTGATCTTTGTGGATGACTATTCCCGTTATACATAGTTCTTCCCTATGAAATTAAAGTCTGATCTTTATGTCATCTTTGATAAATTTCGTACTCTTGTTGAACGGTCCTTTAATTGCAAAATAAAGGCCATTCAGTCTGATTTAGGTGCTGAGTACAAAAAGTTGCATTCTTTGTTTGTTCAATTAGGAATTCAACATAGACAATCCTGTGCCTATACACATGAACAGAATGGTCGTGTTGAACGAAATCATCGTCACATTGTTGAAACTGGTCTGGCTCTTCTAGCTCATGCCTCTGTTCCGTTGAAATTTTGGGATTTTGCCTTTGAGACTGCTGTCTATTTAATTAACAGAATGCCATCTTCTGTATTAAATAACTCTAGTCCTCATCTCCTGTTACATAAATCCCCTCCTTCCTATCTTTTTCTTCGTGTCTTTGGGTGTTTATGCTACCCTCATCTTCGGCCATATAATCGTCATAAGATGTCATACAGGTCTTCTCCATGTGTCTTCCTAGGTTATCCTGAGTCCTTTAGGGGGTACAGATGCATGGACTTACATACTAATAAGATTTACACATGCAGGCATGTCAGATTTGATGAAGAAGTTTCCCCCTTTGCTACTAAAACTTCTTTACAGGATCTATCTACTCCGTTTTCTGGACCTTGGGCGGAATCTGTTCTCAGTCACAGCACACCTATCCCTGCCGTGTCCAATGATGAGCTGCCAGAACCGCCGCTACCTGCTTCATTCGAACCAGCCGTGGATCCCGGACAGGCTGCATCATCGGGTGATCCTGTGGAGCCTGTTGCTCGCCGGCGAGGCCGTCCACGTGGGCGGTCCATCAGGCCCAATGTTCGTACTCACTCTATGGCCACTCGCAGCAACGTAACGCAGATGCTCCTCTTTTTGCTCTAGCAGCTCAAGTGCATCCCACGGAACCCACATGTTACTCTCAAGCTGTCAAATATCCTGAGTGGCGTGAAGCCATGGACCAAGAATTCAATGCTCTCCTGCATAACCACACATGGTCTCTAGTTCCACCCACTGCAGGTATGAATATTATTGGCTGTAAATGGGTGTTTCGTATGAAGAGAAAGGCTGATGGTGCTATTGAAAGGCATAAAGCCAGGCTGGTTGCGAAAGGTTTTAATCAGGTGCCAGGTCAGGACTTCTTCGACACTTTTAGTCCAGTGGTAAAGCCTACGACTGTAAGACTCCTTCTATCTCTAGCTTTATCATCTGGGTGGTCTATCAAACAGCTAGATGTTCATAATGCTTTTCTGAATGGTAATCTGGCTGAAACAGTTTATATGAAGCAACCCCCTGGTTATATTGATGCTAACTTCCCGAATCATGTTTGTTTGTTAAAAAGATCTCTGTATGGGTTAAAACAAGCTCCCAGAACTTGGTTTAATCGACTACATACGTTCTTACTATCGGTTGGCTTTCAAGCATCCAAGACATATGTCTCTCTGTTCTATTACTCTAAAGACTCTGCTTTGGTTTATCTATTGGTGTACGTGGATGACATTCTTGTAATGGGAAGTGATCAGGGTATTATGTCTCAGCTCTTGTCCAAACTGTCTGCTACATTCAAAATCAGAGATCTTGGTGAACCAATTTTTTTTTCTGGGTATTGAAACAGTTAAGAGTGACAATGGGATTATTTTATCTCAACAACGGTATATGAATGATATTTTAAAACGGGTTGGAATGTCTGAATGCAAACCCCTTTCTACACCTATCTCTGTCTCGAAAACTGTCCCTTTCAATTCAGATCTATATGATGATCCCACACAGTACAGGAGTCTAGCTGGAGTACTGCAATATCTCACTGTCACATGACCTGACTTATCCTTTGCAGTTAATCAATTATGCCAGCATATGCATGCTCCCACCATATCACACTGGGAGCAGCTCAAACGGGTACTCAGGTATGTTAAGGGAACAGTTGATCATGGTTTACGCATACGAAGGTGCTCATCTAGAGACATTCATGCTTTCTCTGATTTTGATTGGGCTGGTTGTCCTGACGATCGAAAATCCACGAGTGGTTTTGCTGTTTTCTTGGGGAGTAATCTTATATCATGGGTTTGCAAGAAACAGAGAACTGTTGCCAGGTCATCCACTGAGGCTGAATACAAAGCTCTTGCAGATGTTTGTGCTGAGGTTCTATGGATTATGTCATTATTGCGTGAGATACAGATTCCGGGTATTTCTATTCCAAAATTATGGTGTGATAATCTAGGAGCTACATATATGAGTGCCAATCTAATCTTTCATGCCCGCACCAAGCATGTGGAGATTGATTATCATTTTGTTCGCGATCGAGTAGCTTCGGGCGATATCCAAGTCAACTTCATCTCCACAAAGGATCGACTTGCTGATATCTTCACCAAAGCTCTGCCTGGACCTAGATTTTCTTCCTTAAGGGACAAGCTACAGGTTACTAGTATACACTGTGCTTGAGGGGGAGTATTAGGACTCTATGTATATGAGTCTGTTTAGAACTTCTTATCCTTGTCACACTGTGACTCTCTACTTCTTATCATTGTCACACTGTGACTCTCTATTCTATATATTCACATCATCTGATCTCATTGTAATCAAGTTCAGAAAATATAATACAATCAGTTCTCATCCTAGTCTCCATATTTTTATTTTTATTTTTCAATTAAAAAACATATAAGCTAGGGAAATTGACAAAAATAGGTAAAATTTAAAAGCATGGGATAATCCTAGGAAAAATTTAATTGGAAAATACGGTGTATTTTATGTTGACCAAATAAAAAACGCATTTGCCAAATATGATTTGTATTGTTTTTTGAACTTAGAAAAATGGTTGAACGTATACATGTTAGTGTATATTTCTAATATTTTTGTGCTTATATGTCCATCATAAACACGCAAGGCATATATGTATATGCCTTATTCAATGGAGCTTCTGTATGTATGTGACATAGATGCAGATTTTTATCGGCAAATATAATGCAATTGTGTTCTATATATAGACTGCAGTTAGTATATCATATCATCTGCAGGTTCAACAACGCAGCATGCAATTCAAGCAGATAAGAAAGCAGCAACCATATATAATCATTTGTTCTGAGAAAACAAGCTAGCTAATTAAGGATGGACGACTAAGCAAAAGTAAACAATGATATCAACAAACGTAACACTGCCAACAATCACATGCATGCATCAACTTAAAATTGAATTGAAAGCTCCCATCATATTCATCCCATGTGGAACCATGTATACCCAACCCTCCATCTTTCACGGTGTCAACAAGTTCACCAGTCCTCTAAGAGCATCTTCAATAGTTAATTTTTTGCACAAATTTTAAGAAGAAAAATGAGTAACTATTGTTTAACACGGAGTGCGCGTGCTTGGCTAGTCACTGTTATGCATGGCTGGCATGCACACGGACCAGGCTTTGGAGACAAAAATCAAGTTCTTCAACAAGAACCCCAAATCTTCTCTCTCTCCCCTTTCTCTCTGTTCCATTTCAGCAAAAACCTCCTCAAAAACCACTCCGAAAACTCTATAGGGGTTGCTCTAACCCTTATTACCATCAATGAAATCAAATGAACTCTTGATATATAGGTATTTATAAGGGAGATTGATAAAAGAAGACAAGAGAAAAGTCTGAATGAAGAACGAGCTAAGCAAAGCAAATATTGTGAATAGGCAGAAATTAAGCAAACTGAAAATGTATTATTAGAAATGTTGTCATTAGATCGATCACATTCAATACTGCGGCACTCTTATTGGAAGGACAATATGCATGTGTTGGGAGTGGAAGTTGTAGGAACATTAATTATATTCTCAAAACTCAGAATGAAGCTCGAAATAAAATACTTCCTCATATAGGGTGGAACAGGTCACAGAAAATGTATGTCATGCACATAAGATTTTCGTTTTCCTAAAAATTTTATTTTCACCAACTTTTTAAAAGAAGCTAATTCATTAATCATAGGCTAAAACATTTACAATAAAGATTGATGGAGTGGTCAACCATTCATTACCGTCAGACATAGAAACAACTCCCCTAACAATCCTACAGAGAAAACTTGATTCACATATTGTTTCACAAATTTGAAACTTAAACTTCTTTAATGATTTGGTCAAACATACCCAAGACTAACGCTGTAGTCTTGCACACCACCTGAGTATCTATTTCCATTCTGCTGAATTGCATATCATAGTTCAGAGGAGTCACTTTTTCATTGTCATGTTTGTCACCCAAGATGATATTTGCATATCATAGTTCGAAGGAGTCTCTTTCCATTGTCATGTTTGTCACCCAAGATGATATTCACATACGCCATGACCGGCCAAAGGAATAAATAAGTAATTTTGATTGTCCAAAATGTTTCTGGCAATTAAACTTGCCATAGTAATTCATGGCTGGAAACACCTAAAAATGGTAGGAAAAAAAAATTGAACTCTAAACAGGGCATTTGGTTGGAGGGATTTTAAATTCCCTTCCCACTTAATTCCCACATAATTCCAAAGGCCATTAAATTCCGTAGTTTGGTTGGAGGGAATTGCAATTCCATTCCCCCATTTTCATGGAATTAAAATCCTATGTCCCCCCCTAGGATTTTAATTCCTGGAAAAAAAGATAGTGATGAGTCAAAATTACCCATTCATTTTTTAACCTAAAATTAATGTCTAACAACAATAATGGACATTTTTGACTTTATAATACTTATTCCCTTTCAATTCCCATGTATACCAAACATTGGAATTGAAATTCTCAGTAATTCTATTCCTGTCAACCAAACACTGGAATTTAAATTCTCACTTTATTTCCAGTAATTCAACTCCCATGGAATTACAATTCCTTTCCAACATAATTCCTCCCCTCCAACCAAACGCCCTGTAATGTTTGGCCTCTGATCTACCACTACCATTTAAACAAGGTTGCAGACAAAATTGTCCAATATCTCTACCTCTTGTCTCCTTGGAACCCCTGTGTGCACCAAAATGGAAATTTTTGTATCAATCTTGAAGGGCAATGTCGTGTTTGTGAACCTACACCAATAGCGACGAATTCACTTCTATGGCAGTGACTATTCCACGGCGCATCATTCCCTTATTCTCACAAAGGATATTTAGTGGTGGTGAAGGTGAATTCAGCAGACTTTTACCTTGACATTTGTAGATTCCTCTTGTATGGTACATAGTTTTCAAATAGTGTAACATGGAAGGGTGTGACAATCTTCACCTTTAGAATGTGATTAAATATTAAGTTAAACTTAGCCCATCAAGCCAATGCCCAATATCGTGTTCTTTTTTTAAAGAATTAAGAGAAGAGGACTTGAATTTGAGGCAGACAGAGTTATGGAATTATACCCTTGTTTATCTTAATTAAGTTTCAACACATTTAAATTTATTTTTTGCAAATTTAAATTGTATATCAAGAAAACACAAACAACCCCAAACAGTCACAACTCAAAAATCAAAATTTTATATATTATGAAACATTAGTCTCAATGAGATTTAACACAAATCACAAAACTGCATTCAGGGTCATCCCAATTGGCAATTGCAATCAACAAATTGATGAATGCCCTAAGGGCTAACGCTACCTGCTCCGCTTTATTTTTGGCTATTTCTGCAAAATTATCAGCCACCGGGCTAATGAATTTGATCTCCCAATCCGATGAGTTTACCGGTGAGCCGTCACTAAAGTCTCGATGAACCTTAAGCCGTCAAATTTGGGCACAAATTTCTCATTGTTTGACAGGGATGCTCTCCTCTGCGATTCATCCAATGAAAACCTCGAATAATATGAATGCCCCTGCAATATCAGTGAATCGATTGCAACTTTCTGTGTAATATTATAATAATTTGTACAGAAAATATATGGATCTGAAATTAGAGGAACTGGAAAATTAACCTCGGCGGAGATAGGGTTGCGTCGCACTTCACGATAACCGGAGGATGACGTAAGAGTCACCGTGGAAGCGGCGAGCAGAGAGGCGACAAGAGCGACGGAGCACTTCATTTTTAACGCCGGAAAACAAAAGGGGGAATAGATCAACGGAAAAAAAATCCCGCCGGAACCCGACCCGATTCGCAGTCCGGAAGTTGGAACCCCACCCCCCTTGTACTGCTCGCTCGCACTTCCTGCCCTATAATTCGTTTTGGAATTACAATTTATAAAAAAACCGAATTTATTAGGACCACAAAATAAAAATAAAAACAAATTTATTATTTATTATATTTTACAGAATAAAGAAAAACCTCTTATTTATATGGTTAACATATATAACACGATACCGTAAAACTTTCCTTTCCTGTGGTTAAGGATAGTGTAATTCACTGAACAAAGGTAGGAAAAGAATGGTGCCAAAATAATGATCCATAAATTGGTGGTTATGATTATGATTTGCACACTTATCTCTAAGGATCAAAATTTCTAAAAATGACAAATAGAATAATACATTCATTTTCTCAATCTTTAACTTCTGGATCAATCTTGGGGTTGGGGATGACCATTTGCAGCTACTCATGGAAGAATTGAATAAGCAAATTCTGGGCAAAACCATCTCACAACCTCTTCCCGAACCCGGCGAACCGCCGGGCAACGCCGAATATGAGGGCCTTGGTGAGGAGGCCGCGGTCGATGCTACAGGCGAGGGCAACGGCTCCACCCACGACGAGGAGCTTAGGTATGTTCCTCCCGGTTGGCTTATCGGAAGAGCCCGAGGCTTCGGCTTCAGACATGGTGCGTCTTAGCTCCAGCGAGCGCAGGTCGTCGGTGGTGACTTTTGTGTTGATCTGAGCCATGCAGGCGGATCGGGACAATGGGGCCTCGGTGGCTCTGTGTTTCTGATAGGCACGTAGACCGGGGTCGATCTTCTTGACAGCTCCCCACATGCCCTGGCGAACGCCAAGTTTCGCGATTTCCCAAGGTATCCCCATGTCCTCGTGGTGAAAGAGTAGCACCTCGCAGGCGGTCATCTGACCATCTCTCTTGGAAGCACCTGTTTCGTTGAGAAACACGACTAATCTCAGCTCAGTGAAAATGTTTCTTAATTCTTAAAGGAATACAATCAAGAACGACACCGATAGACTAGTAACTAAATAACTCATTCGAT